GGTGGTTCAGTCGTTAAGTGTCTGCCTTTGGCTCAGTTCATGATCCCAGGGTCCTGGGATTGAGCCCTACATTGGACTGCCTGCTCTGTGGGAAGCCTGCTTCTCCCTCTCCCACTCCCCCTGCTTGTGTTCCCTCTCCCACTGTCTCTTTCTCTGTCAAAAAAAAAAAATTAAATCCTTAAAAAAAAATAAGTGAAGAAAAAAGAATAAAAAAAGAAAAACCAACAACAACAAAAAAAGGAAAGGATAAACAGACAGGTGAACAGAACAGAGCAATACACTATCTCCTGAGTGTATTGTGGGCAGTTTGCTAGGAGAAACTACATCTCAAAATTGTAAAGAAAGGAAAACTTATATATACAAAAATAAAATTAAGTACATTGAAAGGATAGAATGTAACTGTAAAGATGAAAATTAAAAAAATACTTTAACAAAACAAAACAAAAAAACAAAAGCATAAAAAGAAAGGAAGAAGAAAAAGAAAAAAAGGAAAAATGACAACAAAAAAGAGAATATGATCAGACAGGTAAGTACAACAGAGCCATACAGTAGATTTTGTTTGTATTTTGGTCTGTTAGAAGAAACTGCACCCCAAAATTGTAAAGAAAGCAAAACGTGTGTATGTGTGTGTGTGTGTATGATTAAATATATTGAAGGGATAGAGTGTAACTGTAAAAATGAAAATTAAAAAAGATTTAAAAAAGGAGTTGATAAAATAAGAACTTGGTTGAAAAAGGGAATGAAAAAAAAGAATCATGGGGGAAAAGTTGTGATTTCTATGTGCTCTATTCCCCTAGCACTGGAGTTTTGCAGTTTTGTCTTGGCTGGATGGTCTTTCTGACTTTCTGGGGGAGGGGCCTGTTGCATTGATTCCCAAGTGTATTTGCCCTGGGTGGAATTGTACTGCCCTTGTCAGGGGCCAAGCTAAATAATCTGCTCCAGTTTGTTCTATGTTATTTTGTTCCCTGGGGGCATTCCCAGAAGCTTTAGAGGATGAGAATGAAAATGGTGGCCTCCCAATCTCCGGCCCCAGATTTGAAAGCTTGGGGCCCCACTCCTCAGTGTGCCTTCAGAGAAAAGTAGTCAATCACTCCTGTCTCCCTGGTCTCTGGGTGCACTCCGTGCTCACCCGGCCTGTGATGGACCGTTTCTATCTCAGGCATGCGACCCAGTTTTGAGTCTCCAAACCTTTCAGATTCCTGTAACACATTCCTGTACTGCTCCTCCTGGGGGAGGAAAGGGGGGGTCTCATTGGTTCTGTTGCTTGTTAGGCCTGTGCTTGGAGAGCAGTCACCCAACGGTGCTGTGGTTTGTGGTTTTTGTTAACCCTGAGCTGAGAACCCATTCCTGGGCTCAATCTTTGCATCCAGCTTCCTTGTTCCGGTGCCTGGGAACTCTGCAGCACTGAGGTACACCTGGTCTTCCTGTGACCCTGGGAATCCTGGGACCACACTGTCCCAGGGAGGGTTCCACCCCCGCTTAGCAGGCTGAGCAATGTCCCCCACAGGGGCAGACTTCCAAAAGTTCTGATTTTGTGCTCCGCTGCTCTATTACTTGCTGGTAGCCGGCTAACAGAGGCTCCTTCCCACCATGGTCCATCTTCCCATATATCGCCTCGGATTCACTTCTCCACACTTCCTACCTTGCTGAAAGTGGTCACTTTTATAGTCATAGTGTTGAAGCTATTCTTTTCTTAGATCTCTGGTTGAGTTTGCAGGTGTTCAGAATGATTTGATAGTTATCTAGCTGAATTCCTGGGACCACAAGGAGATATCACCCCATACCTGTCAGAATGGCTCATATCAAAAATACAAGAATCAATAATTGTTGGTAAGGATTGAAAAAAGACCCATCATACACCATTGTTGAGAATTCAAACTGGTGCAGCCACTGTGGAAAACAGTATGGAGGTTCCTCAAAAAATTAAAAATAAATTTGTGAGGGGCACCTGGCTGGCTCATCAGTGCAGCATGAGACTCTTGACCTTGGGGTTGTAAGTTCGAGGCACAGGTTGGGTGTAGAGATTACTGAAAAATAAAATCTCAAGAAATAAAATAAAATTATGATATCATCCAGTAATTCCACTACTGGCTATTTACCCAAAGAATATGAAAACACTAATTCAAAAAGATATATTCACTCCTATGTTTACCACAGCATTATTTACAATAACCAAATTATGGAAGCAACCCAAGTGTCTATTGAGAGATGAATGGATAAAGGATAAGTGGTATATATATAAAATGGAATATTACTCAGCCATAAAAGAATGAAATCTTGCCATCTGCAACAACATGGATGGATCCAAAGGTATATTGCTAAGGGAAATAACTCAGTCAGAGAAAGACAGATACCATATGATTTCATTCATAAATGGATATTAAGAAACAAAACAAATGAGCAAAGAAAAAAGGGAGCAAACAAAAAACCAGACTCTTAAATATAGAGAACAAACTGGTGGTTACCAGAGGGGAGGTGGGTAGGGGGATGAATGAAATAGGTGAAGGGGATTAAGAGTACACTTATCATGATGAGCACTGAGGGATATATAGAATTGTTGAATCACTATATTGTACACCTGTAACTAATATAACACTGTATGTTAACTATTGTGGAATTCAAATTAAAAAAATAATAACAAGGGACTGAATAAAGTAAGGAAGATAATGATAATTTTTACGACTTTTTGTTTAAATCATTACAGGCTCAAAAAACCTTTGTTTTTCCAAATTTAAGAAATTTTTATCTGAAACTAACTGACTTACAGCAATTTGACAAATAAACCTTTGTGAATACATTTAAACATTTATCTTTTCTCCCTACCTGATCCTCCAAGCTTCAGAAACTGTCAGTAAATATGCTTATATTTTTTATGGCAATATATTTCCTATTTCAAAAAAGAACATGTTCTCCTTGTAACAGGACACAGTTTCCTGGAATGTCACGTTTGAGAGAGACACACATAGACTCAGATATGACCAGATAGCTTTAAGAAATAAGGCTGACCTTATGAAGCCAATAAAGCCCTTGGAAATATTAGCCTCATACCTTGTTTACAGGGATCCCAGCAGCCTCACCAGGGAGTAAAGAAGGTCACTCCTGGCAGGTGCAGGAACCTCAAGATATTTTGAGAACCTCAGGAAGGGAGGAATTCACCCAAATATATGGGTATCAAAGAGGAAGTCTGATGGCAAGTATTTGGCCTTAAGAGGCTATGAAAAATTTAATCTAGATATTCCTTATAAAAGTTCTAGCAAAGCAGGTTTTAAGGAACAAACATGGTCAACCACTATTCTTGTTGGAGTTATGTAAATCATCAGCCTGCTTTTTTTTTTTAATTAGACTTATTTTACAAACACTTGGGTATTAATTTGGCTATCTTTGGTAAAAATAAGGGCAATTATAGAGAAAAATATGCTTCAGTAACACACCTTTGTAATATTTTAATATTGATCATTATAAACTGGACTAGATCCTGCATTCTCCTAGTGTCCCCAAATGCCTGGCTACAACACTTCAAGATAACATTTTTAAAATTATTCTTTCCCTTTCTGACAATTGGAATCATTTGATACACCAAAAGTCCCTTTTTTCCTGAAGCCCTGCAAAATGAATAGAAATGACTTGATGTAAACTTCAGAGAAATCCCCACAAAAGTTCATGTATAGACAATTTTCCTGCTTGCTGCTCTCTGGGCCCCTCGAAAAGATCCACTAGACCACTACTGGCTAGAGACAACTGAACTGAAACCAGGGAAATCCATCACATTGCCACCGCATGCCCTATGCCATCTGAAGATGCCTCCAGCCCAACCTCAAGAAATCTCACTGGCAGCACTCAGGACTTAGACACTGGATTAACTCCAACCATTCACCTACACTTTTCCTTAGTTTCCGTAAGAAATGCTGCTTCTCAATTACCATAGGGCTTAACTTTGAGAACCCACCTGCATCACTGCCTCCTGAAATAAGTTTAACCGAATGACCCATTGTCAGATTAAGGGACAGGTTCCCCAAGACGGAACAATCTACCTGCTCAACTTGGAACGTGCGAGACTTCGGGGATGCTTCCGAGGAGGGAACCGTAGCGGTTGAGGGCAGGCTGCCCCAAGAAAGTCCATTTTGTCATGTGCATTACTTAGAGCCGAAGGCAATCTGAGACCCTTTGGGCCCAAGAAAAACTTCGGCCCTTCGTTTATCTCCATAGAAGAATCTAAACTGGATGGCTGTTCTAGGATAAGGGTTATTACCAGAAATAAATATATCTGAGTGACCCACCTATATGGCAGGGCAAACATTTGTTTACCAAACACTTAGTCTTTTTCATCTTCCTGTGTACCGTATTCCTTCCCTTTGAAGCCCCAGACCCTTATCCCCTTCTCATTAGTTCAGAATGACATATATACCTCATTTTGCCTGACAGTCTTTGGAATTTCTATGTATGTGTGGATTCCCTGTATGGACGCTAATAAATTCGATTTTCTCCTCTTTATCTGTCTCCTATCAATTTAGTTCCTAGTCCAGCTAGAAGGATCTTTGAGGGGACAGGACATTCTTTTTTTTTTTTTAAGCTTTTTTATTGTTATTTTAGTCACCATACATTACATCATTAGTTTTTGATGTAGTGTTCCATGATTCATTGTTTGTGCATAACACCCAGTGCTCCACGCAGACTGTGCCCTCTTTAATACCCATCACCAGGCTAACCCAACCCCCCACTCCCTCCCCTCTAGAACCCTCAGTTTGTTTTTCAGAGTCCATCGTCTCTCTCCTGGTTGGGACAGGACATTCTTGCTCCCCAACGGTAGTAAAGGAGATACAACAGTATACAGTACATACGAAAAAAAAACCCCAAAAACCTCAGGTTTCTCCTTTAAAAGTATTTATTCGTATTGATGTTCTCCAGACCCTGGGGGATGAGCATTCGGGGTCCATTCCCTCACCCGGGTGTGCTCTTGGGAGCCCCGTGCTGGCTCGAGAAACAGTCTAATCTGTGTGTCACTCCTCCCTCCTCAAGGACAGTCTCCCCAACAGAGGAGTCTCCCCTACAGGAGCTTCCACAGAAGCTTCTCAGTAAAAGAGGCTCAGAGACAAGGTCTGGGGACCCACAGGTTTTTGTCTCACTTCCTCGTTATTTGAGACACTATGAGTAATGATAGTCGTTCCCAATATAATGATATAGAGCACAGTAATGGTCTGCCTCGGCCTCAGCCTGCAGCCCAGAGATGCGCAGAAGCCCTGCATTGGCCGAGGCGTCTTTGGAGCCCGAGAAGCGGCTGGGGACCCCGGAGCCCTGGTGCTTATCGGAGCCTGAAGAGTAATATAGAAGATCCCGGGGAGGGCTCCCAGGTTGCTGCTGGTACCAGAATATGCTATAGTCACCCACACTGAAGCCACTGCTCAGGTGCAGGTGAGTCTGGCCGTCGTTCCCAGAGATGCGGAGAAGGGAGGGCGGCTGGGTCAGCACGGGCTGGGACGGGGAACCTGCAAACACACACACCAAGGGTGATGGGGCATTTTTGCTGGGAGTTTCTCAGTCCCAGGGGCTGATAATAGCTTGGAGGCTCCCCCCCCCCCGCAGTCAGATGATGTTCCTACCTGAGCAGAGAGAGAGGAACAGGAGGAAGAGAGGAGTCCAGGCCATGCTGACACAGCCCCTGGTCCCCACAGGGCAACTGGGCTATCCCAGGCTTATCTTATCCTCCATACTGTCCCCATACAAACGAGGGTGCTCTTTATGCAAATTTGCACCCCCTTCTATACTCTCTCATATTCCATCTGATCAGTGATTCAGGAGACCTGAGGACAAAGAGTCTGAGGGCAGGTACTGCTGTGAGTGGGACCCAGGAGGGAGCAGCCATGGGGACACCCAAAGGACCCTGCCCAGGAGCCTCTGCCAGGCCCTGAGGGCACCAGGCTGCTGGGTCTCATCAGGAGGCATAGGGGACAGCTTAGCCTTTGCCCAGCCCTGAGGGCAAGGGGCTCCCCTAGCTGTGAGTGGACCCCTACAAGGCTCAGGGAGATGCACGGTGCCCCCTACTGGTTACATGTTTGCCTGCAGCAGCTTCAGTGTCCTGAGGTTAATGTCCACCCCTATGCCACCAAGCATTCAACAGTGACATGAATGACTGTGTGAAGCACCCTGTGGGGTCTGATTTAAAGAACATGAGTTCAGTGTATGTGATTTCAGAGGCTTCCAACATGGAGGGAATAGTCATCCAGAAGTAAACACTCCTGCAAGTATGAGAATGTGTACAAAACATAAATCATACGAAAGAGTGAGCTCATCCGACCCCCTAGGATATTTAGGGAGCTCCTCAGAGGAGGGGCCTCTGAGGTATGTCTCAAGAGAGGAATGACCATTTTCTGCACATAGAGGAATAGAAGAAAAAATCAAAATAGTGTGTGAAGATGCTCAAACCATGAATGGATGTGGTGATTTCATAGAGTGGGGAAACCATCTGGTGACAGTGTGCACAGGAGAACAGAAGAGTGAACACAGCCGGGCAGGACTGAAGAAACTATGTGGTCAGGGAAGAAGAACTGAGGCAGGAAAACAGAAAGTGGGGATGCAGGCAGCTGTGCTCACAGAAGATGCTCAGGACTGTGGAACAGAAGGAACTCAGGGTGAGAAGGAGGAAGAGTATAGTGTGAACTGGGGTTTTCTGCTTTGACTGACCCATCAGATGGCAGTGCTGTTTACTGCAGCGAGGCATTAGATAATGAGTTGCTTTTCTGTTCATAAAAGAGTTAAACATCTGGGAAACAAGTAGAAATACTGAATTCCAAGCTCAGAAATGGTGGACCCTGACCCTGAGAGGCAGCAAGCTGTGACCATGGCCTGAGGCTGTTGTCCAGGCATGGTGAGCAGTCCCTGGTGCAGGTGTGGACACATAGGAGGGACAAGAGCCTGGGACAAAAGCCTGGGCACCATCCCCGTGTCCAGAATGGGTAAGAGGAGTCCCGCAAGCAGAATCGCTCAGTCCAGGCTGGCTCCCATGTTCAGTCCCAACATCATTCCTGCAGCGTGTGTGTTAGTGACATTCTACCTTCTGCTCAGGCTCCCAAGAGGTGAGCTGGGTGTCAGTTTAGGTGAGACTAGCCCCTCTTTTTCTTTCCGGTGTAAATGTTCCAGGGAGGGCCTGAAGATAGTGAAGTGTTTGTTGGTGATATTTGCAGACCTTAACACCCTAGGGGGAGCTCAGGAGGAGTTATGAGTGTGGAGCTTCCAAAGTCAGGCTGAAGTTCCTGGGACAGTAGGTATCACGAAGAAGTAGGGCTGGAGAACAACCCGGACCTCTGATCCCACCTGCACATCCCCAGGACCTCCAGCCACAGGGAGGCAGAACTGCAGGCTCTCTCTCATCCCTTTCAGCCTCTGGAAGGAGGAACACTGCATTCTTTTTTTTTTATTATGTTATGTGACTCACCATACACTACATCATTAGTTTTTGATGTAGTGTTCCATGATTCGTTGTTTGCGTATAACACCCAGTGCTCCATGCAGAACGTGCCCTCCTTAATACCCATCACCGGGCTAACCCATCCCCCCACCCCCCTCCCCTCTAGCACCCTGTTTGTTTTTCAGAGTCCATCGTCTCTCATGGTTCGTCTCCCCCTCCAATTTCCCCCCCTTCATTCTTCCCCTCCTGCTATCTTCTTCTTCTTCTTTAACATATAACGTATTATTTGCTTCAGATGTACAGATCTGTGATTCACCAGTCTTACGCAATTCACAACACTCACCATAGCACATACTCTCCCCAATGTCTATCACCCAGCCACCCCTTCCCTCCCACCCCCCACCACTCCAACAACCCTCAGTTTGTTTCCTGAGATTAAGAATTCCTCATATCAGTGAGGTCATATGATACATGTCTTTCTCTGATTGTCTTATTTCACTCAGCATAACACCCTCCAATTCTATCCATGTCATTGCAAATGGCAAGATCTCATCCCTTTTGATGGCTGCATAATATTCCATTGTGTATATATACCACATCTTCTTTATCCATTCATCTGTCGATGGACATCTTGGCTCTTTCCACAGTTCGGCTATTGTGGACATTGCTGCTATAAACATCAGGGTGCATGTACCTCTTGGGATCCCTACATTTTTATCTTTGGGGTAAATACCCAGTAGGAGCACAGCATTCTGTTCACTGTCCCCAACACATTTCCTCTTCCTGGTGTCTGCCGTAAGGTTTGGACTGGGATGACCCAGGTGAGCTCTGTGGCCCAGGAGTCAAGACAGCTGGGCCCTGGGCCCCGACTCAGGCAGGGGCTGCCTGGTGCCCCCTGACTGAGGTGAGGGAACAGGAGCCCATAGAAGAGCCCTCCCTGCCTCCAGTGCTGTGGGTTGCCTGCCAGCTCCCCACAGAGGATGCGCCACACTCAGGTCTTCCTTAGTCTGGAGGCTCATGGCCTCAGATGGCTCAGAATCCCCTGCTGTGCCTCTCACTGAAGACTGTCTCTTACTGTCTCCACTGCTCAAGGGCTGTCTTCCCTACAGGAGTGAAGTGGGGTGTCAGCAGCATCCCCAAAGCATGGAGCAAAAGGTCAAAGGCCCCAGTGCACCTGCGCCCGTGGACTCTCAGTGTGGGACCTGAGAAAGTGGTCTCTCTCTCTCTGTGTGTATCTCTGTCTCTGACTCTCATCCCCACCTCCTTCCTCTGTCAGTTGAGCCTATGACCACACTCCTGGTGGGGGAGGGCACAGGCTCACTCTTTCTCTACCCATGACTTTGGTCTGTAGCTCAGGTGTGCTGTGTAATTACTAGGTCTTATAAGTAGTAAACCTTTATTTTTCAAAGTTTCCTGTGTTGTTCCTGCAAGGTGTCTTGCAGTCATAATAAGAACCACAAGGGTGGGTCTAACATTGGTTGTGGAGCGGCTGAGACCTGCACAAAACATGAACTTCTGTTCCTGAAGGGAGAATGCTGGTTCCCGCCATCTGTGATCATTGACTTCATTGTTCAATTGCAGTGCATGGCCCAGAAACATCACATTACTGACCACTCACCCCATGGGACATAGATCAATCAACTGGAGTATAGGGCTCATGCGTGGTTTTCTTTGTCTTTGGACTTACAGGGTCCCCTCCTTTTCAAAATCCCTGGGGTCAGCACCTTTCTGCCCCACCCCTTCAGTGAGGCGGGTCCAAACCTCTGTAGAGCAGCAGATGGGATAATGTCACACGGTGGAATCCATCATGGACCCCAGACTTCCTAGATGACTTTATAGGCATGCAGTAATGCGCTATCCCTTTGCTGTAGAGTTTACTGAGCTGTGACAACACAGCAGGGTGGTGTGAATGCCTTCACAGTGTCCTGTACAAGAGTGACACCACCATAAATATAATCACTATGCTTCATGCAGTCGCCCTCTTCCTCTTCCCTCCACCTCCTGTCAGTCACTGAACTCATTACCACCTCTCAATTCCGGCCTCTTCCAAAATGTAATACAATTGCAATTTTATGGAATGCAGCATTTTAGAGCTTCTTCTTTCCTAAGTAATATGCATTAAAAATTTATTTATATTACTGTGACTTCAGAGGTCCTTACTATTAAATTCTGACTAATATCCTAGTGTACAGATGCACAATGTATTAGAGGACACCTGTTGTCAAGGCAACCTTTGGGGATTATGTAAAAAGCTGTTATAAACATCGTGTGCAGAATTTTGATTGCTGTTGGGTTTGGTGATTCAAAATAAAGCTGCTATAAGCACTCACATGCAGGATTTTCTCTGGAGAGAAATGTTTTCATTTATCTTTTATAATTTTTAGTCTGAAATCTTTTTATATATTCCCTACAAATATCAGAAAATAAATAAAACCAGTCCTCTGGTTAAAGTTAAGCAAATAATGGGGAGGCGGAGCAAGATGGCAGAGGAGTAGGAGACCTGATTTCGTCTGGCCTCAGGAATTCAGCTGACTAGGGATCAAACCATTCTGAACACCTACGAACTCAACAGGAGATCGAAGAGGAGAGTAGCAACAACTCTCTGAACAGAAAAGCGACCACTTACTGGAAGGTAGGACGTGCGGAGAAGTGAATCTGAGGCGATATTCGGAAGGATAGACAGCGGGGGAGGGGCCTCCGTCGGCCGCTTCTGGCAAGTGATAGAGCCACGGAGCACAAAATCGGAACTTTTAGAAGCCGGCTCCGCTGAGGGACGTCGCTGCAGTGGCTAAGCGGGGGGTGGAACCCTCGCAGGACAGTGTGGTCTCAGGACCCTTGGGGTCACAGAAAGACCGGGGGTGCCTGAGTGCACCAGAGCTGCCAGGTATCAGAGCAGGGAAGCCGGCTGCAGAGACAGAGCCGAGGCGCGGGCTCTCAGCTCGGGGTTGCCATAAACTGTGATCCGCGGCCCAGTCGGGCCACTGCGCCTCCAGCAGGGACCCAACAAGCGGCAGAGCCGGGGAGACTCCCCTTCCTCCCCCGGGAGGAGCGGCGCAGGAGGGCACCGCAGGGATCTGCTGGGTTTGGAGGCTCCACACGGGGTCGGGTGCCAGAGATAGAAACGCTCGGTCACAGGCCGGGTGAGCACGGAGTGCGGCCGGAGACCGGGAACAAGGGAGTGACTGGCTGCTTTTCTCTAGGGGCGCACTGAGGAGCGGAGCCCCAAGTTCTTGCCTCCTCTGGGGCGGAG